ACAGGGTTTCTCTGTGTAGCTTTGCACCTTTCCTGGAACTCACTTGGTAGCCAGGCTGGCCTCGAACTCACAGAGATCCACCTGGCTCTGCCTCCTGAGTGTGTAGAGCTTGAGGTCAGGGATGGTGATGCCTTCAGAGGTGGCTTTGTTGTACAGGATTGTTTTAGCTATCCTTGGTTTTCTGTTTTTCCAAATGAAATTGAGTATTGTTCTTTCCAGGTCTGTGAAGAATTATGTTAGTATTTTGATGGGGATTGCATTGAATCTGTAGATTGCTTTTGGTAAGATTGCCATTTTTATTATGCTGGTTCTACCTATCCATGAGCATGGGAGATCTTTCCATTTTCTGATATCTTCTTCAATTTCTTTCTTCAAAGACTTGGAGTTCTTGTCATACAGTTCTTTCACTCGCTTAGTTAGAGTTACCCCCAAGGTATTTTATATTATTTGTGGCTATTGTAAAGGGTGATGTTTCTCTGATTTCTTTCTAAGCACATTTATCATTTTTATATAGGAGGGCTAGTAATTTTTTTTAGTTAATCTTGTATCCTGCCACATTATGTATACTACCATATCATCTGCAAATAGTGAAAAATTGAGTTATTCCTTTCCAAATTGTATCCCCTTGATCTCCTTTTGTTGTCATATTGCTCTAGCTAGAACTTCAAGTACTATATTGAATAAGTATGGGGAGAGCAGACAGCCTTGTCTTGTTCTTGATTTTAGTGGAATTGCTGTGAGTTTCTCTCTATTTAATTTGATGTTGGCTGTTGGTTTGCTGTAAATTGCCTTTATTATGTTTAGGTATATTCCTTGTACTCCTGATCGCTCTAAGACCTTTATCAAGAAGGGGTATTGGATTTTGTCAAAGGCCTTTTCAGTCTCTAATGAAATGATCATGTGGTTTTTTTTTTTCTTTTAGTTTGTTTATATGGTATAATACATTGACAGACTTGTGTATGTTTAACCAATCTTGCATCTCTGGGATGAAGCCTTTTTAATCATGGTGGATAATTTTTTGATGTGTGCTTGGAGTCTGTTTGCCAATATTTTATTCAGTATTTTTGCATTAATGTTCATGAGGGAGATCGGTATGTTGTTATCCTTCTTTGTTGTGTCTTTGCGTGGCTTGGGAATCAGAGTAACTGTAGCCTTATAAAAGGAGTTTGGTAACATTCCTTCTGTTCCTACTGTGTGGAACAATTTGAAGAGTATTGGTATTAACTCTTCTTTGAATATCTGGTAGAATTCTGCATTGAAACCTTCTTGTCCTAGGCTATTTTTGCTTGAGAGACTTTTAATGACTGTTTCTATTTCCTTAGGAGTTACTGGTCTACTTAAATTGTTTATCTGGTCTTGATTTAACTTTGGCATGTGGTACCTATCCAGAAAATTGTCCATTTCTTTTAGATTTTCCAAGTTTGTGTAGTACAGGTTTTTGAAGTATAAGTTGATTCTCTAGATTTCCTCATTGTCTGTTGTTATATCTCCCTTTTCATTTCTGATTTTGTTAATTTGATGCTCTCTCTCTCTCTCCCTCTCTCTCTCTCTCTCTCTCTCTCTCTCTCTCTCTCTCTCTCTCTTTCTCTCTCTCTCTCTCTCTCCCTCTCTGCCCTCTGGTTAGTTTGAATAAGGGCTTGTCTATCTTGTTGATTTTCTCAAAGAACCAACTCTTTGTTTCATTGATTCTTTGTATTGTTCTCTTTGTTTCTATTTTATCGATTTCTGGTTCAATTTGATTATTTCCTGGTGTCTATTCCTCCTGGGTGACTTTGCTTCTTTTTGTTCTAGAGCTTTTGGGTGTGCTGTTAAATCACTAGTGTGAGATTTCTCCAACTTCTTTATGTGGGCATTTAGTGCTATGAAATATCATCTTAGCACTGCTTTCATAGTGTCCCATAAGTTTGGGTATGTAATACATTCATTTTCATTGGATTCTAGGAAGTCTTTAATTTCTTTCTTTATTTCTTCCTTGACCCATTGGTGATTCAAATGAGCATTATTCAGTTTCCATTAGATTTTAGGCTTTCTGTAATTTTTGTTGTTGTTGAAATCTAACTTTAAGCCATGGTGGTCTGGTTATTCCATTTTTTTTTTTTTTTTTTTTTTTTTTTTTTTTGGTATCTGTTGAGATTTGCTTTGTGACCGAATGTGTGGTCTATTTTAGAGAAGGTTCCATGGGGTGCTGAGAAGAAGGTATACTCTTTTTTTGTTAGGTTGGAACGTTCTGTAGATATCTATTAAGTCCATTTAAGTCATAACATCTGTGAGGTTCCTTATTTCTCTGTTAAGTGTCAGTCTGGCAGATTTGTCCAGTGGTGAGTGTTGAAGTCTCCCACTATTAATATGTGGGGTTTGATGTGTGATTTAAGCTTTAGTAATGTTTCTTTTACATATGTGGGAGCCCTTTTATTTGGGGCATAAATGTTCAGAATTGAAACTTCATCTTGGTGGATTGTTCCTGTGATGAGTATGTAATGTCCCTCTGGATCTCTTTCTATTGATTTTTAGCTTGAAGTCTATTTTGTTAGTTATTAGGATAGCTACACCAGCTTGCTTCTTAAGCCCATTTGATTAGAAAGTCTTTTCCCAGCCTTTTACTCTGAGGTAGTGTCTTTCTTTGAGGTTGAGGTGTGTGTCTTGTATGCAACAGAAGGATAGATCCTGTTTTTGTATCCACTCTGTTAGCCTCTGTCTTTTTGTAGGTGAATCAAGTCCATTGATATTAAGGGATATTAATAAACAGTGATTGTTAATTCCTGTTATCTTTTGGCAGTAGTGTGTATTTGTGTTTCCCTTCTTTGAAATTTACTGCTGTGGGGTTATCAATTGCCTGTGTTTTTATGGGTATATCTGACTTCCTTAGGTTGGAATTTTCCTTCTAGTGCTCTCTGTAGGGTTGGATTTGTGAATAGGTATTGTTTAAATCTGGTTTTGTCTTGGAATGTCTTGTTCACTCTGCTTATGGTGGTTGAAAGTTTTGCTGGGTATATTAGTCTAGGTTGGCATCCATGGTCTCTTCATGTCTGCATTACATATGTCCAGGACCTTCTGGCTTTCAATGTCTCCATTAAGAAGTTGGTTGTTATTCTGATGGGTCTGCCTTTTTAAGTCACTTGGCCTTTTTCCTTTGCTGCCCTTAATATTCTTTCTTTATGCTGTATGTTTAGTGGTTTAATTATTATGTGGCAAGGGGGCTTTTTTGAGGGGTCTAGTGTATCTGGTGTTCTATAACCTTCTTGTATCTTTATAGATATTTCCTTCTTTAAGTTTTCTTCCATGATTTTGTTGAATATACTTTCTGTGCCTTTGAGTTAGTATTCTTCTTCTATCCCTATTATTCTTAGGTTTGGCCTTTTCATGGTGTCTCAGATTTCCTGGACATCTTGTGTTATGACTTTTTTGGCTTTGGTGTTTTCTTTGACTGACAAATTTGTTTCCTCTGTTGTGTCCTCTACACCAGAGATTCTCTCTTCTATCTCTTGTATTCTGTTGGTTATGCTTGCATCTGTGTTTCCTGTTCGTTTACTCTGATTTTCTATTTCCAGAATTCCCTCTGTTTGCATCTTCTTTATTGTTTCTATTTTCCTTTTCAGGTCTTTAACTGTTTCGCTCACCTGTTTCATTTCTTTTTCATGGTTTTCTTTAAGGGATTTATTGCTTTCTTCCAATTTATTTGTCTTTTCCTCTATTTCTTCCAATTTTTTGTTTGTCTTTTCCTCAATTTCTTTAAGGGAATTTTTTATTTCCTCTTTAAAGGCCTCTAGCATCTTCATGAAGTTATTTTTAAGGTCACTTGCTTTTGCTTCTTTTATATTGTGATGTTCAGGTATTGATGTTGTAGAAAGGCTAGGTTCTGGTGATGCCATATTCCTCTTTATGTTGTTGTGTGTATTTTTGCATTGGCATCTACTCATCTCTTCCTCCAATAGGTGCAAGAGGTGTCTATGTCTGAGTGAGCTGCTATTGGTCCATTCTGTGTTTGCTGTGTCTGTGTCTCAGGGGGCTACTCTGAGTCCAAATTTAGCTCTTGATCTAATTGGAGTTGGCAGATTCTGTATCTCAGGGAGCTGCCATTGGTCCAATCCAAGCTGGCCTGTTCTGTGGCTCAGGGAGCTGCTCTTGGTCTTATCAGGGCTCTTGGTCCAGTCAGAGCTGGTGATTTCTGTGTCTCAGGAAGCTCTTCTTGGTCTTATGAGAGCTGGCAGGTTCTGTGTCTCAGGAAGCCACTCTTGTTCCAATATGAGCTCTTGGTCCAATGAGAGGTAGTGGATTCCATGTCTCAGGAAGTTCCTGGGGTTGCAAGTGGGTGGTTATTGGGGTAGGGCATAGGTTTTGTAGATTGTAGGGTCTGATGGGGGATTTTGGTGGGGGATCCTGCCCACAGGAGTTTTCCCTGCTGGCCAGAAATTGGGGCTATGTGTTACTTTCTAAATTTTGTGTTCCATGTGTGTGAGGATGGAGCCTAGTTTATTATTTCCAGACACATAGCTGGCAGTTATAGCCATTCTTTTCAGATTGTATCTAAATTTTTTATTGGTTCATATCAGTCATATACAGACTAAAATTTATTTTTATCTCTGTTCTGTCCACTTACGCTTTTGTCTTAATGTTTTGTTCATTAAGCCTTTAACTTAGTTTACTATATATTAAGTATACTTGACTGCTCTTACTCCTTATATTAACCTTAGCACTGGAAACCAATTTTTCATATGAACTTTAAGAAGAATGTATGCAGGTGTATAAAACCTTGCTAGACTGAAAAGTAAAGTATTTACACTGAGTTTACATGTCACTTTATATTTACTTTTTTATTATAAGAAACTTTAAGTGAATATTTAAGTAAGGAAATTAAAGCAAACATTTAAAACTAGTGGAGAAGTTTTATTTATTCCAATATTTCACATTGGAATATATTAGTAACATAAAAGTCCCCCCATCTTATGATTCTATCTTGTTGTTTCTCATCTTTTCCATCTCAGTGATTGTCCAGGTCAGATATGGCAGAAAGAAACCAGACCCTGGTGACAGAGTTTGTTCTCACAGGACTCAATGAGCGACCGGAGTTACAGGTGCTCCTCTTCCTGGTGTTCCTCATCATCTACCTCATCACCATGGTGGGCAACCTTGGACTGATTGCTCTCATCTGGAAGGACCCTCATCTTCATACTACTCCCATGTACTTATTCCTCAGCAGTTTAGCATTTGCCGACGCATGCACTTCGTCTTCTGTGACCCCCAAGATGCTTGTCAATTTTTTATCTACAGATCATCAGATATCCCTGAGTGACTGCTTCACCCAATTTTATTGTTTTTGCTCCAGTGCAACCACAGAATGTTTCCTCCTGCTAGTGATGGCCTATGACCGCTATGTGGCCATATGCAACCCCCTGCTTTATCCAGTGGTGATGTCCAATAAGCTCTGTACTCAGCTTATACTTGTTACGTATTTTATAGGTATCCTCAATTCAACAATTCATGTGGGGTTGTTAGTTAGATTAACGTTTTGCAGGTCCAATGTTATACATTATTTCTACTGTGAAATTGTACAATTATTCACAATTTCTTGCACTGATCCTACACTTAATAAGCTTGTGGTTTTCATCTGCTCAACATTTATACAAGCCTTCACATTTATAAACATTGTAGTCTCTTATACCCGTGTGCTGTTTGCCATCCTGAGAAAGAAGTCTGAGAAGGGCCGAAGCAAAGCTTTCTCTACCTGCAGTGTGCACCTGCTCTCTGTCTCTTTGTTCTATGGAAATCTGTTCCTCATTTATATCCGTCCTGGGTCTGGACCAGCTGAAGATAAGGAAAAACTGTATTCTCTATTTTACACAATAATAATCCCCCTGCTAAATCCATTTATTTATAGTTTGAGGAATAGAGAAGTTCTAGGAGCCCTGAGAAGACTAAAAAGATAATAATAAACACAGTTGACATGAACTCATGGGAGCTCAGGGTCTCTGGACCAACAGCTAGGGAACCTGCATGGGACAGTCCTAGGCCCTCTGCATGTGGGTGACAGTTATATAGCTTGGTCTGTTTGTGAGGCCCCCTAGCATTGGGATCAGGACATGTCCCTGGCACATGATCTGCCTGTTTAGAACCTATTCTCCATGCTGGGATGCCTAACCCAGCCTTGATGCAGGATGAGGATCTTGGTCCTGCCTCAAGTTGATATGACATGTTTTGTTGACTCCCATGGGAGGCCTTACTCTTTCTGAACTGAGGAGTGGATTGGGAGGGTAAATGGAAGGTTGGGGGAAGGAACAGGAAGAGAGGAAGGAGGGTAAACTGTGGTTGGTATGTAAAATAAATGAAAAAAAATTAATAAAAAGTAGTCAGGGGACAAAGAAAAATTTGCCATAAGTTTCAAGTTTTTTTCTTTATTATAAAACAAGAACAAAACACAAACAAACAAACAACAAACCTCAAATTCACTGTATGAGCCACTACTTTGCTCTTTTAGCACAGGGCTGTTACTCAGGATGTTTTTTGAGCTCAGTAGAAAGGCGGACAGTTTCATGTTTAGGTCCAGTGCCATGTGGACATTTCCTTGCATATGAGTCTAGGGCTGGATAGTCAACATTGACTATTGCCACCTTGTTTAGGAACATTGTACTCCATTATACCTCAGCATTCTAAGTTTTGGAAGCTAGCTATTTTCTGGGGACTTCCATAATTATAAGCAGCCATTGGCATTTTACTGATAAATAGTGAGAAACATCAACTGAAATAAATGAATAAGTACCTAGTCACTAGAGTAAAAGTTAACAACTGAACTGTCACTTACACCTGCTGGGAGAGGGGAAATCAAATGGGAATAAATACAGATACCTACAGCAAGGCATTACTCAAAGAGTGTAAGACCTTGGAATATTGAGCCTTAAGTGAGATGTTTTCATCAAATCGCTCCTTTGGAGTTCAAAGAATCTCATGGAACAGGAGGCAAAAAGAGTGTAAGATCTTGCCAGAGGGCATGGAGGATAAGAAAACAAGGCCCTCTCCACGAACATGATAAAACCAAATTTAAGCACTATCTATCTAAAAAATCTAGTCCAATGAAAGGATCTAGAAGGAAGATTCCAACCAAAAGGTGTTAAACACACCCATGAAAATCAAAGAAAAAAAATCCAAGACCAGCAAATCAAAATATCTCTCTCTCTCCCTCTCCCTCTCCCTCTCCCTCTCTCTCTCTATCTCTCTCTCTCTCTCTCTCTCTCTCTCTCTCTCTCTCTCTCTCTCTCTCTCTCACACACACACACACACACACACACACACACACACACACACACACATCACATCACAATAGCAAAATAACAGGAATTGACAAGCACTGCTCAACAATATGTCTCATAACCAATGTCTAAATTCCCCAGTAAAAAGAAACAAACAGAATGGATGCAAAAAAAACCAGAATTCTTCTTTCTGCTGCATTCAAGAAACACACCTTAATATCAAGGAGACACATTACATGAGGGTAAAAGGATGGAAAAAGGTTCCAATCAAATAGACCTAAGAAACAAGCCATTGTAGCCATTTTAATATCTGACAAAATAGACTTCAAACCACAACTAACCAGAAGACACAGGAGGAGTGCTACATACCCATCAAAGGAAAATTCTACCAAGAGGGTATTGCAATCTTAACATTTAAGCACCTTAAGATCTAAGCATATCTAAGGATATGCAAGGTCATAAAAGAAACACTACTACAATTTAAATCATATATTGACCCTAACACATTGAGAGTGGGTGATTTCAATACCTCACTCACCAATACACAGGTCAATCAGACAAAAACTAAACAGAAAAATTCTGAACTACGTGATGTTATAAATCAAATGGACCTAAAATATACTTACAGAACATTCCATCAATACCCAAAAAATGTATTTCTCAGAACTTCATGAAACTTTCTCAAAAATTGACCATACACACAAAGCAAGTTTCAACAGACACACAAAAATTGAAATAACTCCTTAAATCCTGTCTGACCACCATGGAATAAATCTTGATATTAACAAAAGAAACAACAGAAAGCTTATAAAAATATGGAAATTGAACAGCTTACAACTGAGTAAAAATTGAGTCAAGACAGAAATCAACGACTTTCTAGAACTGAATATGTGCCCCAAACTTATGGGACATAATGATGGTATTTCAAAGAAGCAAATTCATAGCACTAAGTGCCTGTATAAAAATATTGGTGAGATCTCATACTATTAACATAGCAGCACATATAAGTGCTCTAGAAAACTAAAAAAAAAAAAAAGAAATTACATGCAAAAGGAGTAGACTATAAGAAATTATCAAACTTAGGGCAGAAATCAATAACACAGAAACAAATACAAAAACAACACACAGTAACAATGAAATAAAGAGTTGGTTCTTTTATAAAATATAAAATCCATAATATTGAGAAATCCTTATCCAAATTAACTAATAGGCTGAGAGAATATTCAAATTAAAAAATTAGAAATAAAAATGGGGACATAACAAGGAATTCCAGAGAAACATAATGATATGCTCTAAAAAAACTATGCTCTACCACACTGGAAAATCTGAAAGAAGTGGGTAATTTACTTGGTACATACCAGTTACTGAAGTTAAATTAATATGAGATAAGCAATTTAAACACAAATATAAACTCTAGTGAAAAACAAAACAACAGCAATTTAAAAGTCTCCCAAGCAAAACAAAAATAAACAACCAAGACCAAGTCGTTTTGGCACAGAATTAACCAGACTTTCAAAGAAGTGTTATTGCCAATAATCCCCAAATTATTCTACAAAAATATAAACAGAAGGAGTACTGTCCAATTTGTTTTATGAGGCCATAGTTATCATGATACCCAAACCACATAAACACCCAATAAATTAGAGTTATAGACCATTTTTCCTTATTAATATAGATGCAAAATTCTCAATAAAATACTTGTAAATAGAATCCAAGAGCATATTAAAATGATGACCATGATCATCCCAGATACGCAGATATGGCTCAACATACAAAAATCTGTCAATGTAATTTATCATATAAACAAACTGAAAGAAAAAAAACCCTTATGATAATCTCATTAGATGTAAAAATAGCCTTTGACAAAAATCCTGGAGTGATTAGGGATACAAGGGACATGCCTAAACAGAATAAGGGCAGATTACATCAAGGACATAACCAACATCAACTTTAATGGAGAGAAACTCAAAGAAATTCATCAAAATCAGGAATAAGACAAGGTTTTCCACTCTCTCCATATCTGTTCAATTTTGTTCAATCTGTTCAATTTTGTTCAATCTGTTCAATATTGTACTTTATGTACTCACTCATAGGAGGAAACTAGATGTAAAACAAAGATGACTAGACTCCTACTCACAACTCCAGGGAGGCTACCTAGAAAACAGGACTCCAAGAAAGACACAGGGATCACCCAATGACAGAGAAATGGATGAGATCTACATGAACAACCTGGACATGAGTGGGGGTAATGAAGGGCAAGAGTCGAGGGAAAGAGAGCTTGGGGGAGCGGGAGATCCCAGCTGGATCAACAACAGAGAGGGAGAACAAGGAACAAGAGACCATGATAAATGAAGACCACATGAGAATAGGAAGAAGCAACGTGCTAGAGAGGTCCACAGAAATCCACAAAGATACCTCCACAATAGACTACTGGCAATGGTTGAGAGACACCCTGAACTGACCTACTCTGGTGATAGGATGGCCAGACCCTAATTGTCATGCTAGAAACCTCATCCAATGACTGAGGGAACCGGATGCAGAGATCCACAGCCAGGCCCCAGGTGGAGCTCCAGGAGTCCAACTGGCAAGAAAGAGGAGGGTTTGTATGAGCAAGAATTGTTGAGACCAAGGTTGGAAAAAGCACAGGGACAAATAGTCAAACTAGTGGAAACATGTGAACTATGAACCAATAGCTGAGGAGCCCCCAACTGGATCAGGCCCTCTGGATAAGTGAGACAGTTGTTTAGCTTGATCTGTTTGGGAGGCATCCAGGCACTGGGACCAGGACCTGTCCTCGGTGCATGAGCTGGCTGTTTGGAACCTGGGGCTTATACAGGGACACTTGCCTCAGCCTGGGAGGAGTGGACTGGATCTGCCTAGACTGAATCTGCCAGGTTGAACTCAATCCCCAGGGGAGTCTTTGCCCTGGAGGAGATGGGAATGGGGGGTGGGCTGGAGGGAAGGTGGGGGGGGTGCGGGGAGGGGGGAGAACAAGGGAATCTGTGGCTGATATGTAAAATTAAATTAAATTATAAAATTAAAAAAAGAAATGCAAAAACTAAGAGGTGAATATTCTATGGGTATTTGTTGATCACGCAGAGAAGTATCTGTCCAAGCTTGGATCTACTGGAAAATTAGTATCAAGTCAAATTTAAAGGGAAAGACTATAGTCAATTTTTGGACACAAATAAAATGTCTCACATATTGGCAAACTCTCATCACAGTAAATATATATATATATATATATATATATAGAGAGAGAGAGAGAGAGAGAGAGAGAGAGAAACTGAAAAAAAAGAACATCGAGACTGTTGAAGGAGATCAATGGGACACAAATTGGAAAGAAAGATGTCAAAGTACCATTATTTGCAGATGATATAATAGTATACATAAGAGAACCTAAAAATTCCATTGAGACCTCTGTGAGCTGATAGACACTTTCAGCAAAGTAGCTGGATACAAAATTATCTCACAAAATTAGTAGCCCTACTATATACAAATAATAGACTGATAAAAAAATTAGGGAAACTCCTTTCACAGTAGCTTCAAATAATATAAAATATCTTTGTGGTGACTCTAACTAAGCGAGCAAAAGCTTGTATGATAAAAACTTCAAGTCTTTGAAGAAGATATTAGGAGATGGAAAAAATCTCACATGCTCATGGACCATAGGATTCACATAGTAAAACTGTCATCCCACCAAAATCTGTCTAAGACTCAATGCAATTCCTATCAAAATTCCAACACAATTCTTCATATTTCTTGAAAGGACAATTTTAAGCTTCATATGGAAACACAGAAAATCCATGACAGCTAAAACAATTATGTGTAATAAAAGAAATGCAGGAGACATAACTATCCCAGATTTCAATCTGCACTACATAGCTATATTAACAAAAAAGGCAGGGTGTTGGTACAAAAATAGACACATCAATGGAATCCAGTTGAAGACCCACTTAAGAATGATCCATATCTATCACCCTGCACAAAATTGGATCAAAGACCCCAACATAAAACCAGGTAATTGAACCTGATAGAAGAGAAAGTGGGGAGGGGAATATTCTTGAACTCATTATCATAGGAAAAAACTTTCTGAAGAGGACACTGTTTATGTTGGCACTATGATCAACAAGTAATAAATGGGACCTCATGAAACTGAAAAGCTTCTGATGCCAATGGACACTGTCATTTGGACAAAGTCGCAGGTTACAGAATGGGAAAATATTTTTACCTGCTTCACATTTGATAGAGTACTAATATCCAAGATATATAAAGAAATTATAAGATATCAAGATCAAATAGCTCTATTTAAAAATGTGGTACATAATCATCATCAGAGAGGTTTCATCCAGCAACTGATGGGAGCTGATGAAGAGACCCACAGCCAAACATTAGTCAGAGCTCATCAAACCTTCTGAAGAGGGGAAGGAAGGATTGTAGGAGCCAGAGGAGTTGAGGACACCATGAGAGCACATCCCACAGAATCAACTAAGCAGGACTTATAAGGGCTCACTGAGACTGAAGGGACAATCATGGAGCCTGTATGGGTTTGATTTAGGTCCTCTGAATATATGTTATGAGTCATGTAGCTTGGTGTTCTTGTGGAACTCCTAACAGTGGGAGTGGGGGGTGTCTCTGACTCTTTTTTTCCAGCTATTGGGACCCTTTTCCTCCTACTAGGTTGCCTTGTCCAGTCTATCAGGGGTTTATTCCTAGTCTTATTGTATCTTGTTATACTGTGTTTGATTGATATCCCTGGGAGGCCTGCTGTTTTTGTTTTTGTTTTTCTGCAGGGAAATAGAAGAGTGTATCGGGGGAGAGGGGAGGTGGTGGTGGGGAGCTAGAAGGAGTAGAGGTAGGGGAAACTGCAGGCAGGATGTAACATATAAGATAAGAATAAGTAAAAAGAAAAATCAGTTATAGATCTAAACAGAATTCTCAGGAGAGGAAACTCACAGAGCTAAGAAATACTTGAGATGTTCAACACCCTTAGCTATTAGGGAAATACAAATCAAAACCACTTTGATATTTCATTTTACACTGTCTGAAAGGTAAGATAATTAAAACAAGTGGCAGCTCATGCTGGCAAGGATGTGGAATAAGGGGAACACTCATCCATTGCTGGTGGAAGAGCAAACTTATATAGTCACCATGGTAATTAGTGTGGCTGCTCCACAGAAAGATGGGAATTGATCTACCTCAAGATCCAACTACACCGTTCTTGGGCATAGTAAAGGATGCTGTATCCTATCTCAGAGACACTTGCTCAACTATGTTCAGTACTGCTCTATTCATAACAGCCAGAAATTGAAATCATCTAGCTTCCCCCTCAATAGAACAACAGTTAAAGGAAACGTGGTACATTTACACAACTGAGTGTTACTCAGCTGTTAAAAAATTGAAATAATGAAATCCAAAGGTAAATGAGTGTAACTGGAAAAATCAATCTGTGTGAGGCAACCCAGACCCAGAAAGACAGGTAGAATAGATGTGAATGAATGTAGGGGCTGGAATGGGAGTATCAAGTCAAGAGTTGGAGGGTAGATGGGGTCAAGGGAGAGAATACAGGTAGAGACAGCTAAAATTAAGGACTATTTGAGGGTTAGTATGGAAACTTTATACAGTAGAAACTTTCTAAAACATATACATATATTAAGAAAACCTGAATGAAATTTCCAAATAATATGTGAGAAGCCCAAACTATCCACTCTTGTCAGCAAATGAAGCTTCCAGTACTGGGATTGGGTATATATACATATATATATATATATATATATATATATATATATATAATTAAGTTGATGTCTAAATGGGTTCGATGGGAATCATCAAATACTCTACACTGTTGCCAAGACTGGGTTTCTCTTTACAAACTGACCACAAGGCTCCACTGCTTCAGACAATACCTATACAGCTCATTGAATGTAGAAAAGTTAAGTTTGTGCCTACATAGAGGCTTCACCTCTACATTAGGCAGTCTATGCTATAGGAAGGTACTCTGCATCTACCTAAAGAGAAATAAAACAACAACCTTCCACAAACCCTTAATCTACAGTGGTGTCCTGCCTACAAGATATGCTAATGCAATGGTGGCACAAAGTTTGCGGGAGTAACCAACCACTGTCTAACTTGATGTAAAGCTTATTCTACAAGATGGAACCAATACTGGGCACTGCATGGGTCACCAAGAATCTGAGACTATGTAGCCCAGGGACCTAGGGTAAAAACAAATACTAGTGTTCAAAATAATAAAACAAAACAAACAAAACAAATCCACCACCACTACCACTGAAAACAATGTAGCAACAAAAATGATTCCTAATGACATTCTGTTATACCTGTTATACCTATGCCTTCCTCATCCATCATCAGACTAATCAGTCTCTAAATGAATAGCAAGGGTCCTGGCATCCACTTGCCATTGGGGTCACCTCTGGTCTTTTATAGGTAGGTATGTTGTGTATAATTTCAATTTTCCAAAAAAAATTATTTTTATGGTCCAATGTAGTATTGCTAAGCTCTTTTTACATGCTAAGCTTTATGTGAAAAAAAATGATGTTTGAATTATATGAATTTTAGAAATACACATAAAATATCTCTGAATCTCTAATATGATTTTATTACTCTCACACCCCATTCCTATTTTCTAAAGAATACAGAAACAGATCATTTGTGACATAGCCAGGGTTATATGACTAGTCAGTAGAAAAGCCAAACTTCAAAACACAGCTTCTCACTCAGAGATTATGCACTCTGCTATGCCCCCCACCCCCATTTATAACAAAAAATACTGCTGCTCTCGATCAGTTCAGTAATTTTTTCCCCATTGCTGAAGACTGAACCAAGTGAACCATTCTTGTGCTTGCTAGGCAAGCATGCTACCATAGAGCTAAAACACCAACCCCAGTAATTCTAATATGTAGTTAGTACAAGGAGATCTGGGAAGGTAATTGATGTTACTAATGAGCTCTGCCAGCAAACTTTTATTCATATAAGCTGTAGTTTTGGATTTGGACTAGAAAAAATAAAATCCCTTCTTTGGTGTACTTAGGATTCACAACTACCAAATTGGAGAGATCTTTAGAAAGGCATGAGATAGGGCGTGCAGTTAGCCACATACTAGTGGTGGACATGAAATAATTTAAGAAATGTCTGAGAAGAGCTGTCACCAGTAACATGCTTCTCTAATGAATTCACCTCAGGTAGATGGAAGTTGTAAGTGTAATAAGGGAATATATACAAGTTGGCTTAGTGCCAGGAAAGGCAAGAAACCTTCTTTTCATGCCAAAGGTCACTCTTGGGTCTCTTCACTGTTAGTAAGCACTGCTTTTAGTTGGCAAAAGTAATGCGACCTTTCCAATAAAGTACCTGCATATTCCCTAATAAGCTCCACTGAGAATTGCACACAAATTGCAGGCACAAACTTGCAATTATAAAACTTTTGCAATTCCCAGCATGGAAACATCAAACTTCTAATGAAGTCTCAAGTGGAGACCTGGATTCATAATTATATTTTCAACAGAGATTGTTAACTTTCTGTGTACATCCCAGGTTAACAGCCAAATGAGGTTATTTACCAGGGCACTGCCTTCAGTGATTCTCAGTAGATCAAACCTTATAAAACTCATAATACTCTCAAAAAGGAAACTGCTTATGTCATGACTAGTATAGGAAATAAATGAAGATGTCCCTCCCTCTATTTCATAATGAAAGAAAAATCTTTGAATCTTTTCAATTAGGCCTATTGAAGTTACTTCAGATTTATAATACTTGAGAAATCAGTGTATTAGAATAAAATTAGAATAGTTCAGCATTAACCTGAAATAATTAATAGATTTGAATGAACCAGAATTCTTTTTTAAAATTTATTCTTCTCATTTATTACATCCTGAATGGAGTTTCCTCTCCCTCCTCCTCTCTCAGTCTCCTCCCCAATCCATTCCTCTATTTCCCTTCAGGAAAGTGTAGGCCTCCCAGGGATATCAACCAAACATGGTACACCAAGTTGCAATAAGACTAGGCGCCTCCCTTCATAATAAGGCTGGATGAGGCAACTCAGCAGGAAAAGGGTCCCCAGAGCAGGCAAAAGAGTCAGAGACAGACCTTTCTCCCACTGTTAGGGCTCCCACAAAAAGACCAAGATACTCAGCCATACATATACATGCAGGGCTGAGGTCAGACCCATGCAGGCTCCTTGATTGTTATGAACTATAATTCTTAATCTCATGAATAAAAGTTTTATTTTTTCCATTTGAATGTAATAGAGAATTATATAGTTAAAGAGCCAATGCAGTGACTTCTAGAATGCCCCCCACCCATCACACACATACACACACACACACACACACACACACACACACACACACACACACACACACCTTGTAGTGCAGATATATACCACAGACCTTTTCCCTTGTGTCTTGAATTCTTTCTTATATTCATTCCTCAATTCCTACCTCTATCACTTACAGATTGAATATTTTCTTCCTATTCTTATATATTCTCCCTCCTTCCTGTGCCTCCTTACCTTTTCAGATCACTGTTTCTTTTTTCCCTGCTGCCTTGTCTCTAGGTTTGAAAGTGGAGGCCCTACCTTCTATCCCAGATCCTTGCATTCACTACAGTCCTTTCCCTTCAGTATTCATCGAGACCTGTGCTGGTGCATTTATTCACATGTTATTTCTAGTTCTTGGCCATTGTGATTAGTGAGCAATGGACTTGAGAGCATTACATATTTTTAACCTATTTATTCTATTTCCTTTTAATGTATGCTCAGTAGTGGGATTTGGGGTCTATTTTTTTCAAGCAAGACCATTCCATTCTTTTTTTAATTTAAAATGTTTGTTTTAAGTGTATGGATATTTTTGCCTTTTTTGTACAACTATTGCATGTCTAGTGCCCACAGATGCTGGAAGGGGGTGTTAAATGGCCTGTACTGGAGTACAGATGGCTGTGAGCTGTAACTAGAGTTTTTTCTCTGTCCTGCCCTATTCCATAGCTGCTTCTAAATAATCATTCAGAAGCTTATATTAATTATAAATGTTTGGCCAATAGCTCGGGCTTATTATTAGCTAGCTCTTACAGTCAAATTAATCCTTACTTCTTATCTATGCTTTGTCAAATGGTTTGTGGCTTGTTACCTCATCTTCTACACATCTTACTTCCTCCATGTCTGGCTGTCATCTCTGCCCGCTCCCTCTATACCATCCTCATTCCTTAGTGTCAATTCCCAATACCTAGAAATATTCTACCCTGGACTTCTAACAACAACATATGGCAGGATCTCAGAAACATTCCTACCAGGAAATGCACAGCTACCAAACTTTCCTAAGAACCAGAGATGGCAACAGAAACCAAGGAACAGAGTACCCACCCAACAAACACAGGACTAGATATTAGCACCTAGAATTAAGATCATCCCAATCCTAGATGCTTAGACACCAGCATAAAAACACAATCAATAACAACTAGGACAATATGTCTCCACTAGGGCCCAACAACCCTACTACAGTAGTTCCTGAGAAATGCCATATAGCTGAGGCACAAAGAAAGAATGTAAAAATAGTTATCAAGGGTATGCTCAAGGACCTTAAGGAGGTTATGAACAAATCCATTAATAAAATCTATGAAAACACAAATAAACAAGTAGAAGGAAATTAATAAAACTGTTCAAGACATGAAAGTGGAAATAATCAATAAAGAAATCTTTAAGTGAGAGAAAAATGCAAATGAAAAACATAGGACCTTGACCATGAACCTCAGAAGCAAGCCCCACCAATAGAATATAAGAGACGGAAGAGACACTCTTGGGCATTGAAAACAGGACAGAAGTAATGGATACCACAGTCAAAGAAAATGTTAAATCTTAAAATAATCCAGGCACAAAACATTCAGAAAATCTGGGACACTAGAAAAGAAAAAAATCAAAGAATAGTAGGAATAGAGGAAGGAGAAGAAACCCAGGTCAAAGTCACAGAAAATATTTCAAAGAAAATCATAGAGGTAATTTTCCCTATCCTAAAGAAGGAGGTACTAATCAAGGTACAAGAAGCATACCGAATGCCATAAAAACAGGACCAGAAAGGAAGTTCCCAATACACATAATAATCAGAATGCTAAATATACAGAACAAAGAAAGAATATTAAAAGCTACAAGAGAAAAAGACCAAATGGCATATAAAGGCAGACCTATTAGAATAATATTTGATTTTTCTTTGGAGTCTCTAAAAGCCAGAAAATCCTGAACAGATGTTCTACAAACTCTTAAGAGACCACAGATGGCAGCCACTAAGACTACTATACCAAGTAAAACTTTCAATCACAATAGATGGAGAAAGAAAGGCATTCCACAATAAAAACCAAAATTAAGTAATACAAAGCCAGCTCTACAGAAGGCACTAGAAGAAAAACTTCAACATGAACAGGTTAACCACACCCAAGAAAATACAAGGAATAATAATTTCAGATTAGCAAATCAAAAAGGGGGCAATACCACAACAACAAAATAGTAGGATTCAACAAGCACTGTTCATTGATAACTCTCAACACCAATGGTCTCAATTCCCCAATAAAAAGACACTGAGCAGCAGATTGGATTAAAAAACAGGATACAATCTTCTGCTGCATCCAAGGAACACAACTTAATATTAAGGAGGCACATCACCTGAAGGTAAAAGGATGGGGAAAAGGTATTCCAGAAAATAGACCCAAGAAAAAAGATGTTGTAGCAATTTTAACAGACAAACTAGACTTCAAACCACAATTAATCAGAAGAGATAGGCAAAGATTCTGCATACCAATCAAATGAAAAAAATCAACCAAGAAGACATTGCAATTTTATTTATTATTATTATTAATAATTATTATTATTTTCCCATATATTACATCACAACCACAGTTTTCCCTCCCTCCATGTCTCTCTTCTCCCTTAGATCAACTCCTCCATTTTCCTTCAAAAAAAGAGCAGACTTCCCAGGAATAACAACTGAACATGGCATAACAATTTACAATAAGACTATGCCCAAGCTCTCATATCAAGGATAGATGAGGCAATCCAGTTGGAAGAAAAGGGTCCCATGAGAGGGAAAAAGGCCCATGAGAAGGAGCACAAGCATGACACTGCCTGAATGGCCAGGAACCAGAGGCTAGACAGAGACCTAGGATAGAATCAAACACAACTGGTAATAATAATAATAAAAATCATTCCTAATGATTTTCTGCTACACTCATAGGTCAGTGCTTAGCCAAATTGTCATCAGAGAGACATCAACCTGCAACTGATGGGAACAAGCAAAGAGTCAGAGACACCCCCTACTCGAACTGTTAGGAGTCCCATAAGAACACTGAGCTATGCAACCATAACATATATTCAGTGGACCTAACTCAGATCCACACAGGATCTGTGATTTTTTTTTGCTTCAGTCTTTGTGAGACCCTATGAGCCCTGCTTAGTTGATTCTGTGGGCTGTGTTCTTGTAGTGTTCTTGATCTCTCTGGCTTCTATAATCCTTTCTCCTCTTCTTCAGCAGGGTTGCCCTAGCCTTGCCTAATGTTTGGCTGCAGG